GTGAACTACTGCCTGAAACTCGCATATTCTCCTCTATTGGCAATAATACAACTACCACTCCAGTGATCGCGTCTTTTTTCTTCTGTACAACAAGAACCTCTGCACTAATCGTCACGTTCACAAAAGTATTTCATTTCCATATGGATATGTTACTATCTAATGTATAGTAACGTTTTTACTTTAAGTTAAATAAAATATGTGTTTCAATAGGCGGTTTTTAAAGGCAATGCCTATTACCCCGCGAAATATACCGAGCTAGATGTTATGACAGGTCAACCCCAGCTGATGAGAAAACTCACGTAACGTCTGCTTCCTCATGCGGCGTCCGCAAGGATTGCAAGACAAAGGTGTCAGAACTGCCGGTCAGCGGAATTTGTGCCTCTGGTCCGATGGACTGCTCGGAGCTCTTCTTGTCTGAGCTGTAGGTGCTGGAGCCTGAAGAGGTCCATTGAGGCACCTGACGACTTTGAGAGGAGGACCTTGAGGAGGAGGTGGAGGCGGAAGAAGCTGGTGGGGAGTCGATGCGCTTGTGGAGATTCAAATGGATATTTCTTACTGGAGACCTTTCTTGCAGACCCAAAACTGCACGTTAAAGCAAAAAGAAAGCTGTCAACTGTGGGTGAACAGAAACTATGGGTAAACAGAAAATAAATGTACTAGCGTACAGTCGGTGGTCGGTCCCAGTCTCCCCTGTCTTGGCCAGCAGTATTCAAGTCATAGTTCTCAGAGCCACAGTCAATTAACAGGCGCATCGACTTGCCCGTACCATATTGAGTACTGAGACATGGTCTGGACAGAAGAATCAGGCACGTGGGGGAGACCGGACACAGCAACAACTCTGATGACAGCGAACATAATTGTCGCGTAATTATCAAGCCGGCACCCAACATGAATGACGAAATCACTGCAAGTAATGCCTCGGAAACGGACTGCTAACCCATCACCGCACGAAAACGACCCCCAGCTGTGGTTACGGGAACTGATAATTATAGTGTGCATGCTGCCGCGCGCCCATTACGGACTATACATACTGCGTAATCGATGAATATATCACCCTAATCTGTGCATTTATCATCTTATTCTACGGGTACCTCTGATGAAGGGTTGTCGACAGAATCCGAAACTTAAGGCAAACAATCCTGTTCCAGCGATCGCATCTTCTACTTCTGAACCGAGGATGGTGATGAAATTTAGACAATTAATGACTCGCACGGGGACTAAACAGCAATCATCACCTCATTTAAACGACCACCAGCCACAAAATGCAGTATCCACATTGTGTATTGGGTACGCGGATGCATGACGACCGCTTCCTAAGGATATTGCATCCGTCGTGTTGTAGCGGTCTAAGTAGTGAGTGTACTCGGATCACTACAGTCATCAGGCCAAATCCCAGGTTGGAAGTTAAAGGGCAGAAGTCACCAGAAGGAGTTGTTTATTGTGTACAGAACTCCCAGTTGCTGTCTCAGGAGGCCGTAGCCACTGGCGAAGCCAGAGCTAGAGTTGACTGCTTGCAGACAAACCTGAGAGAGAATTGGACAGTGGTGTCAGCTACTTAGGTAGGATTGTGGAGCAGGTTCAAGTGTTCTGTTATTGTTGTGTTGCAATTTGCCGAGGGGATATCGACTGTAAAGGCCCCCTGCTGCATTGGCTAAAGAAATGCCGTGGTACGTGGTTCTTAGGAAGGCATGCTTATTTGGACGTGCGTGTATGCGCGGGTGTGTGCGACATGTGTGTGCGTGACTGAATAAGCCGAGGTCGACTGTGGGGGGCCGCCGGAAAGCCGAAGGAAAGGGGACGCTAACGCAGCTGTCATCGGTTAACCAGAACCAGCCGTGAGGTCAAGTCTCAGGGGGCGGGGGCTCCAGTAAAAGAGACCATTAGAACAGTTATCTGTGACAACGCATGACTTTGGGGTAGTGAGCCTTGGAGAACGAAGGGGGAACAGGCATTGTGGCGTCCGCCGCAGTGTCCTCATCACCCTTTAGCCGCGACTGTTTGTGATGATGTCTTTGAACGAGAATCCTAAACGCCAGGTCAATAAACGCCAAGTTATGAAGACACCGATGTGATCGCTGGGACATAACTCTTATTGTTCTGACTTTTCGAAAACTCTCGCTAATCTATCATGGGAGACAATATCAGAAACGGGTCTTTTTAATGGTCAAACTTGAAGGAACACACATATCGTTCTTTTTACGGGGATAAGGCATTGCGAGTCTTGCCATCTCCCTGTTTACTGGAGATTTGTATGTCAAACACATCGGCAACATGTCATTGTCTTGCTTTCTCAATTTCTTCCCGGGACTCGCATTTTTGCTTGTATTAGCAAACTAAAAGTTTTCAACTATTGCATATCAATTTTTCGTGGTCATGCTGCACCTTCTTACACCTTTAAAAACCGATTCTTCACATCTAGCTACAGTAATAACTGCCTAGATTACTGGCCGCTGTGCAGCTGCTATCAGAGCCCAAGAAATGAGACCCAAGACTGTAAATCTGTATCATGAGGGAGAGTATTACAAATGCTTATTATACTACTCATTTTAAGGCAGTAGTCATATTTTATCACTCTTTCGACTCCACCAGCTTTTCCCCCTTCGATCTCAAGCGTGTAGTTGAAGCCCTCTTTTTTATTTCTTTTTTGTCCATGCCTTTTTTAACCACCTTGTAATCAGTAGGGAGCTCAAAGAGATTCGCTTATCTTTCCATCCATTAAACTGATACTGATAGTGATAGTTTAGGAACTGGTGAGGGTACTGTTGCGCTGTATGCGCCGCAATCTTTCCCCCTGTCCCCCCCTGGACCTGGAGTCATGAACGACTGTGTAGGTGGGATAGGAAGCGGGTGGCTAACGTGTGCCGTCACAGACCATGAGTGCCATAAAGGCCACAGCCAGGAGTCATCGTCGCCTAAATCTCAGTCCACAAGCCAGCCGCTCTACACAAATGCAACTTGTGCAGACTGCGACGTCTGAGGACAATCGTCAGTTGGCACACCATGGAGGTCTCAAACTGGAACCACACACAGAGCAGGGGGTGGCGAGCCACACGGAGAAAGAACGTTTTTTTGTTTGACGTAGGTGATGGTGGAGAAATTGCAACATTGTATAGCCGGCGCGGTTCTACCGCAAGTTTTCACGGAAGCGTACGTGACCCACAAGGCTCATGCTGTGAGTGAATGCGCGTGGGCAATATAGACATTTAAGCCTGTCGCGGTGGGTTATTTTAATGTTCCTGGCACTGGTTTGACAAGTTCTCTGTGCAACGGATTCGTAGGTGACAGAACAGACCGGTGCGTTGTGCATTGAACTTATTCCATTAGCACGTTCTGGCATATGTTCTTTTTGCAAACAAAATAAATTTCCATTGATTGTATACGTCAGAGTGCTTATACTCGTAAGTGGAAATCTATGGTACTCCATGTTCAGGCAGTTTCCTATGGTCTTAACTGTTCTGAACTAGTTTTCATTTTGC